ACTCGGTTATGAGAGGCATTTATTATTATTATTATTATGAAACAAAACATTCTGATTCCATAATTGAATACACTATTGCTTACACATATGGCTATGTGAGCTCTGAAATACAGTAGTTGATGGAAGAAGGTACACAAATTAGTATAAAATGTATAAAATGGCCACAAAATACAGAGTGTTGAATCATTTACATGTTTTCTTGACACTAGATAGCTTTATTTGTGCAATTGCCTTTTGTCTCAGATTATGGATTTTCCACTATTACTATATTTCTTTCATAGAAAGAGGGTATTTTCCTGGCTTGTTTTATGGCATTTAATAATGTAGCTCAGAAAAGTCACAAGTTTGTATCCTTTTCCCTTTATTGTATTTGTATTATATCATGATTATTTTTACATATTCACACTGGAAATTTGCTCTACTCTTTGTCTTTGTTGTTATAGATACTGTTTAACACAACCCATGTGTTGCAACTACGCATATTGATATTTTGTGTTTATGCAGTAAATACAGATCTGTCTGATGTGTTTCAGATAGATCTGTATTGCCATTGCAGTTCAAAAATTGCAGGTCATTAAAATTGAAACCCTTTAAGTGACCAATTGTGCTGGCAGAGTTTTCCATGCCCATGTGCCAGTCGGGGGGTTGTTGTACTACATGCATATTCCGTTCCATTACCCATTGTAGCTGTGTTCACTTTAAACAAAAGAAGGTTTTAGGTTTTATGGTATATCTATAGTGCTTTTTTTCAATATTTATCTTTCTCTACCCTTTTTTTATTGGCTTCTGAGTTTATTTTTTATTTAGCTCATCCAAGAAGGATGGAAATCCTCTTTGCAGTCCCTGTGCTAAAGTGTACTTCTGACTGTTGGAGCAGGGAGCAGTGATGGGAGAAGGCACCCTGCTTTACTTCTAACAGTCTTTTCCCAGACAATCTACAACTGTCAATCGCAAGACCTGGGAAGGAGATACTGAAGGTATCAAAACAACAGACTGTCTTTAAGAAGGAGTGTTCCTAGCGATGACAATGCCAAGAACCCTCCTCTTCTGCCTGCATGATCACGCAGCACTCAGGGTAATAACACTAAACTGATTTCTTTGCACTTGCACAATTATCCAGCTCTTGGTAAGAGCTGATGTGAACGAGGCTTTACTGGGCCAAGTGGAAAAAAATCACCCTACTGTTTCTGTCCTCAGTTTCTGCAAGAACAGCCAAAAGGTTTTACTCTTATGGCTGGTGCTGGAGGAGCTGAAACGTTTTTGGGGGATAAATAGGTTGATGAGTTATCTATGAAACCTGCTCATTGGCTGCCCTAACTACTGCTGTGCACTGCAAGCTTAATTTAAATGAGTGTTGTATAAATACAACAAGAATGATGATGCTATTTTACTGGTCTTGATGAAGCCTATTTAAAAATTCATTATCGGTGCTAGTTTCCTCTAGAGATAACAACTTGCATATTTTGTATCTGCATCTATTGAAACGGCTGTCATTCCTCACACAGGAATTAATTACCTTGGATTATATGTTTGATCAAGGGCTGTAAATAAGAACTTACCAGAGAGTAGTCAATGTTGTTGATGATTTTAATTTTAAATAGCAATAGAATGCACTGCCGATTTTAATGCAAAATTATAATCTGCATATATTGGAGGATTCTTAAAGCACAATTCTACAGCTTGGATATAAAGTGGAGCAGAATACAAACAGTGAAGATTTGCTAGGGAACATCTACAAATGTTAGTTGTGCTTAAAAGGAGAACTATGAGGTGAGTGAAAATCATTCATCCTCATAGTTCAAACCGACGTTTGACAATGAAACTGTCACACGTCGGCTCAATAGATCGGGAAGTGAGCAAACAAATACCGTCGCTCGCTCACTTCTTGATCATCTCCCTGCAGTGAGTGGTGACTGTCAGTCACGGCTTCCTGCAGGGATCCCCCCCCCTCCCCTGTCCGATCCTCCAGTGCTGACTGGAGGAAAGGATGGGGGGAGGGGATGAGTACAGGTGGCTCTGCCTCTAGATAGGCAAAGCCCGCTGTCACTCCCGCAGCTGGGTGGATCTCGACAGTAATGTCAAGATCCGTCTCGGCTGTGGGGGTCTCAGGATATCGGGAGCTGTAGCTTGCGATATACTGAGCTTTGGGTCATGGGAGGATGCTAGTAGATGTCCTCCCGTGACCCTTGAGAGAACTATGGGGAAAAACACTTACCTCATAGTTCTCTTTTAAGTAGTTCCCTGAAAGGGTTATGTTATGTCTTAAATTCCTCCTGAAAAATAACAGTTCACTTCCTGGTATGTAAAGGTGCCTAGACACTTCTGTTCCTTAAAGTGACACTAAACGCAGAAGATACAAATGAGTAAACTAAACGTGAGATTGTAGCCACTCTTTAGAAGGAAAGCCTCAGCACGAATTCAGTTGATGATCTGAGAATCTACACAAATAAGCTAAATTTTAATAGGGTAAGTGAATGCATTTTTAAGATTTAACTCCAGAGTTTAATTTCACTTTAAGCCGCATAACTGGATACCTTCAATGTAAGACCTAAGGCACTGCTGCCTCTGGCTGCTAGTCTCAGGGGATTTGGAGTGAGATTTGGTGATGTCACTACTGTGCTGCTCCCTGTTCTCTTTGCTGGAGGCTCTGATATGAGAAAACAAAGCCCTGTCTCTACCAAATTGGCTGCCTTCACACAGAAACGTAGTGCAGAACACGGCATGGTAAGTCAGTAAGGGGGAAAGAATGAGCTGTAAAGAGACCACATGCAATACTGGTAACTAGTCATTTGTACTCTTCTTGTCTTTTTGGACATATCTTCCATAATTCCTCTTTGAGAGAGATGTGGTAATTCAGAATATGATCCTTTTCATTACATCTGGGAAAATGTTCCTTTAAAACTGCTTGCTGTTTTTTTACTTTCATTGTTAAAGGTGATATATCACAAACACCACAAACATCATAGAAATGTTTCCAATCTGTCAGATAATTTTTTTTATTTAATCTTAAACAAATCTATTGCAAGTGAATTGAAATACTCACGTTTTGAAATCCAATTGTATTATTGAAGTGATGACGTTATAGAAAGATAAAGTTAAAAAGTGTGTGGGAGCCTTAAAATAGCCAAATCAGAGTTAACAAAAGCATGTTTTGCACTCAGCTTAGTGAAGCCACACTCATGTCAATCTTCCAATTATGTGCAAATGATTTTTTTTTATTTCTCTGCACATGATTGGTTGTTCAACTGCAGCAGGCTAAGTGAATACATTCCTTATAGTAAATCAGCCCACTTGCTCATATATTCTATTCTGCTAGGTTCTGAGTCATCTGAAAACACAGTAATTTCATCTAATTTACAAACTGTATTTTTTTTCATAAACAAGCTAAACTACAATAAAATTAATATATGGTATGGCATTTAGTATTGTATTTTATATCATGCTGTCATAGGCATATCTTAAAGTGCAACTGTGCCCAGACTAAGTAATTTAAATATTCTTAACAAATCATAAAAGAGCTCTTAAACACACATTTACTGACCTCTAAAGCTGTAGGCACTGTAAAAAAATGAATCCTCAAATTTCAAAACAAAGACTTAGTTGGGTTAACAGCACCTTGTGATTGTTTATATTAGACGGCTGGTGGGCTGTCAACTCCCCGTTGACAGAAAAAATAAGCAGAGCTGAGACTTCAGTGCTACTGTTGTGTTCTTTGGGGATGATTTTATCCACATTTCCTGCAGCTACAGATATACTATAAGTAAGAGGTTTTTTAAAGGAGAACTATGGGGTCAGTGTTTTTCCCCATAGTTCTCCTTAGGGTAACGGGAGGACGCAAACTAGCGTCCTCCCGTTACTCTAAGCTCAGTATACCTCGATGTTTGTTTAAAATATAAAGAGAGTGGTCTATTATGGTAAATACAGCCCTGATGCCTTTTATTATCTCAGGATATTTGAAATATGATATATTGAAAAAATAATTGTGTGTTACACTTGTTTAAAGTTGCTTAAACTACTGTATCTAGATCAAAATGCATTTGTAGACCACTATTTTTGTTTATGTAAACTTTCTCCCTATTGATAATTACAAATATATCCCTATACTAATTTTTGAATTAATAATTATGCAAATAAATATATGTACTGAGTAACTAATAAAGAATGTGTTGTTAAGTCATCAAAATCTATTAACAATGATCATGAACTGGGAACCACTTTTACTGACTTTGAGCAAGACTACAGTTGTTATAAGCCTTTATTTACTAACATAGTGCAAGCAGCTATTATACAACTTGACCATAAGTAATCCATTAAATTACATCAGGTTAATTTTTATTATTTTACTTGCTGGATTTGATGCAGAGACACACTGGAGGTCTTCATCTGCCATTGTATTGTACTGGGCTTCTGGTGTGTCTCTGTACCTTTAAGAAGGAAAAGGTTAGATCAAAGCATACTTGCCCTCAATTTCTTTATTGCTATAGGTTTCCCAGGATGGAGGCTCTGTTATACTAGAGTTAGGGACCATCCTTCACAGAGACGCCTTGAGGAGGAAGTGTGACCTCCACACATAATGTATATTTGCAAATGTATGCAACTAAAACCTCTATTTTTAGTGTAAATTGTTGACACAGTGGGGATAAGTTTGCATTGTATTATTCTGTGAAATGCGCTGTCCATGTGCACCTGCTTTATAAAGCCAGTGATTAATTAAATGGAGCAGTTGCCTTTTTTGTTTCGCTTGTCAGAAGTTTAATTTTGTCAGCCCAAGGAAAGATTTATTCTAACAGGCTGCCATGAGATACTGTACTTTTATATTGCAGAACTTCCTACTCAATAGGAGCCTTTGACCCATCCTTAGATTCCATTATATTGGCTTGTAAGCATACAGTATACAAGGCCATACCTGTGAATGTGAGTGCAAAGCACCATGTCTTCTGACATATAGAATTAAAAGCAATGAACGTTAAGATTAATAAGCGGTTAGGAAAGAAGATTACCTTTTCTAAGGGACTTTCTACCCGTGGGATGCTGATCATTGGCATCTGTGCCAAGTTGTCAATTGGCGATTTTTCCTGTTCTGTTTGTCTTCCCTTAAAATTGTTTACCACACAAACAACCTGAATTAAACAAGCAAATATTAGGTATTTGTTAGCATTATTAGCATTCTAAATAAATACAGAGCAGCACTAATACTAAGTACATTTTACCACTGTGTAAGAAAATACGTACATACCAGAAACACTGCTATTGATATTCCAATGAGGAAGCCAGCTATGACGTCTGACCAGTGATTGCGATATTCTGCCACCCTGTTTATTCCAGTAAGAAATGCCAAACACATCAAGCCCAGACACAAGACAGGTTTGGCGAGCCGTGTCCCTTTGGCTTTAACCGTGCTGGTGATATACATCTTCAAAAAGAGAGAAAAGGGTAGATTGTAAAAAACTATAAATATTATTAGAAATAGTATAAATATATATCAAAGTAAAAATGTGGCCAGGCTATGGACATTCAAATATTTACATATTTTTATATAGCAGTAAATTAACTTTACAACAAGCCATCACTGACCTCTATAGCTACAGGCACTGTGGAATAATGTATTTTCAAAGTTTACAGCAGAAGCACTTTCTCTTTCATTTCAGATGCTTAGCTTGTTCTGTTCTGCTCTGCCCTCCCAATAGAGACCAAGTAGCCTGCGAGCCGTCTGATCTCTAATGTACCCATGGAGCAGGGAGGGTCCTGGGAGGGTGGAAAGCAGATTGCTGAAACCCAACTTGGACAACTTAAATGCTCCTCTTGTGAACTTGAGAATGAATTGCTCCATTGTGTCTACAGCTGCAGAGGTCAGAGACGGATTGTTTTAAAGCTTAATTTTTGCTCGTTAACAATATGTAAAAATTTGTATGCCCATGGCCTGGCCACAGTTCTACCTTAAGGCACCTAAATCTTCTTTTTTTAAGAAGACACAGGACATTGACTACATTTTAACGTTCCTCTGCATTGTGACTATCATAGCATGTCATGCTGACCAGGGAGGTGATTTCCCCACTAGCAATGTCCTATGTCTACCTTCATTAACAGCTGATGTGATTATGCTTTTATGTAGTCTGTACACAGATTTCAGGGCTCCTACACTTGGTGGGTTGAAAAATACATTTTCTTAATGTCGTAGTAAACACAGCTGACTATTTGCATACTTAATTAATGGAGCACTGACCAAAAATGTTACATAAACAAGGTAGGTAGTTGACATGGCAGCAACTGTTAGACTTCAGGGATTAGCATATTTATTTTGGTAGAATTGATTTTTCTTCAAAATTAATTATTTAATCGAGTGGAAATGGAACATTTCAGTAGTGTTCATTGAACTGCTTAGACAGAACTGGGGAGGGGCAATTTTAGTTTTCTCCATCAAGTGTTCCTTGCATTTGTCCCTTTTTTGTGTATATTATTATTGTTAGTGTTGTTGTTATTATTTGGGATTTACATAACACCAATAGCTTGTGCAGTGCTTTACAAAATAAAGGGAGAGGGTTCAGTTACAATACAAGTTAAGACAAGAGGGTTAGAAGGACCCTTTAATGAGAGTTTACAATCTAAAAGGGAATGGCAAGTGGCACAAAAGCTGTGTGGGGATGAGTTGTTTGAGCAAGTAACATTTCAGTTGTTGGGTAGAGAAGGGAACGACTTTACTAAAGAGATGAGTTTTCTGAGATCGCTTAAAGGCAGACTGAGTAGGTAATAGCTATACAGGTTGGGGTAGGGAGCTCCAGAGGATGGGGAGGCTGTGGAAAAGTACTGAAGGCAAGCATGGGATGAGTTAATGAGGGTGATAGAGAGCCAGAAATCCTAGGAGGAGCTAGAGGAACGTTTGGGTGATATTTTGAGACAAGGTTGGTGATGAACATTTTGTGGATGGCTTTGAATGTTGTTGTTAGTATTTTGAATTTTATTCTTTGGTTAATTGGAAGTCAATGGAGAGATATGCAGGGTGGGGGGGTTCCAGATACTTCAGCTTGGTAAGCTGGTTAAGTCTGGCAGCAGCATTCATCATAGACTGAAGGGGGGATAGCATGGTAGGCCAATGAGGAGAGTCAATTGTTGTTGTGAGAGATAGGAAGTGAGTGATTGTGTAGCTTAGTGGTGACAATGGTTAAAAAGGTGCATATTGTGAACATGTTACATTGCAAAACTTGGACGGCCATTAAATGTGGTGCTGAAAGGAGAGGTCAGATTTTAGGATTATAGGGATTATACCAAGCACTCTGGCATAGCCGGAGGAACAGATAGACTTGCAACTGATCAAAATAGAAAAGTTAGGGGAGGGTACACATGGGTAGGTAATATCGTGAGCTGAATTTTTGAAAGAATACGTTTTAGGAATTGGAGATTTGTTATTTGTTTACCAACACTTTTGCATTTTTTTTAAATTTCTGTTAATTTTCCTTCTGTGAAGAAAAAAAGGTAAAACAAAAATAAGGAAGGGACTTTTCTGTTCTTCCGCTCTGCTTGTATACGTGTATTATCTGTAGCCTGTACTTATCCATAGCACAGCCCTACGCTAGGGATTTTAAATTTCACTTGTAAATTGCGAGGACTCATTGGTCAGCACGGTCACCTGACTGTGCTGACCAATGAGAAGCGCTTCTGACCATGCTAACCAATGAGAAGCGCTTCTTGTTTATCATGCTAACCTCTACTTCTATATTGTAATAATCTCTTATCCAATACAATATTTACACAGAGAGAAGGAATTCATCTTTACTTTTATTTGTTGCATGCAAATTCCATGTCCATGATTTAGAAGTGCTGAACTTCATTTTTATATATACATAACCTATGTGCTTTTCTTTCATCTACATATCATGCTTTAGTTTCTGTGTTTCATCTGTGCTATAACCGCATGCAGCTATGCTTTCAACTTTTTCAAACATGTATCTGATGCAAGCACAGAGAAAGGAGGACTGTTGACAAAGCCATTTGCGACCTTGAGCAAAGTGCAGTGAAATTGTTGTTTACAGCATAACATTGTTAAAGATTTTTAATTTAGCAAAAGTATGTGGTATTTTTCTATCATAGAAAGCATGTTATTTAATGGATCCCCTTTCAGCTGTATGGTATATTTTATTGTATTAACCTACTTAAAGGCTTAAGTGCTTGTTTTGGTCTAGGGTCTAAAATAGCAAAGATATACTTATCCCAACCTCGGTCCTGCCTGGATGCTAGACGGTTCCCGGCAGCCTCTCTCCCCTTCCACTCTGGTGATGGACTGTCCCTTAGCATACTCTCAACCGATACACTCTATTGGACGTGGTAACTTACAGTATTTTAGGCCGCCAAAGTGAAGAGAGGTTACAAGGATAGGTCTAGCAGCCAGAACCTCTGGTTCTACTCATGCAGAACCTCTGCCTCTCCCGTTAGACCTCCCAGGAAATTTGAATATAGGGTACAGATTTGCCTAACTCTATAATCAGCTATAATGATAGGGGGGCTGGGAATGTGCTGCTTTGGTGTACTTAACAATGTGGTTATATGGTTGACTAAACTGCACTAAAGTATGCAGTGGTGTGCTGCAAAGGACAGCCTTGCCTGTGTCAGGAACAAGTTCACACTGTTGACCCTGAAATTAAAAAAAGACCCTAGAAAAATGATATTACACTCAAATATAAAAATCTAAACTCCCACTCTCTCAATTTTTATCTCTCTCTAAATATATTCCAAGTCTCCTGGGAACCCGGCACATAAGAAAACCCCCAATTTGGTCCTTTTAAGCCATCTGACCAATAAGTGCATTATAGGTAAGAGCTTTCTATAGCGGCAAAATGCCGCACTAGTTTGCCATTTTCCCAAACTGCAAACGACTTGGGTGCACATTGAAATAATGTTTGAACCAAACTCAAAGGTCATCTTTAATTACTGTGATGCAAGTTTAGAAATTGTCAGGGCTAGGGAAAGTGTGCTGGACTTGTGGAACTTTTTTCTTATATACTGTAGAATATATTGGTCATGGTAATGCTGCAGATAAACTGTTAGTGTGAATAAAATAATTGGGCTTGTGTTGTTTTCCTGATCCGATGATTGATCTGTTAAAGCACCAAGGCTTTTTCCCATTTAAAGTAATCGCATTTTCTTCTAGAAAGATGTGAGTTGCTTTCTGCTAATCAAACACTGCATTATTTTAGCAGACAAACGCCACAGGTTAAATTACACCTGTCATTGGCGAATTATGTAGGCTGTCATTGATGACCTCTTCTTTTAAGAACCTTGCTGATGCGTGGTCTTTAATGCTCTCTGAGTCATTGGCCTGAAAAAAGTATAGAAGTAAGAAATTTGGACTGCATACTTCTGAGTCTGTGACATATTTCTATTAGGGCCAAACAAAGCTTGGCAACTAGCATTTTTAGAAGCAGCCCAGCAATGGCAGCCTCCATACTTATCTTACAACAGGTGTACTTTAAATATAAGTACAACACAATCTGTTAATATAATACATTTCAGCACAATGCTATTTTTAAACCACATCTTGGTCCAGAGTCATTCATATATTTTTAAAACATTTTCTAACCTATCTTTCATTTTAAACTTTAGATTTTTATTAAAGTATATAGTATCTGCAACACAAACAATATTGATTTCATCCGATTATTGATACACATTTGGAATGTTAGTAAGTTTGAGTCACATACAACAACTTCTAGTAGAGCAGATAACCATTCCGATTTGGAATCATAAAAAGCAAAAATGGTCTACCTGGAAATCAAAAGGTGACCGATCCTCTCGCGTGAGTACCATAAATTGGAATCATACATATTAATCAACACTTACAAAAAAAGAAAAACCCAGAAAGGGAGATGGGTGTTGCAGAGGGGTTAGATAGAGGAGGTATGAGGGGTAGGGAAGGGGGTTGGGGGGGATGGAAAGAAAGAGCAAGACAGGTGGGGGAGGATAGGGGATAGGAAGGACAGTGAGGATGAGCAATGGATGCTCAATCCGTTTGATAACGGCACATTGTGTAACAGAGTAAAGTCAACTACAATCACACTTTAACCCCTTCATGACTGAGGCCTTTTTTTCATTTTTTGTACCCATGTTATATTCCACATTTTAGGCCTGAAAATTACTTAAAACCCCCCAACATTATATATTTTCTGAATGCCAAGACCATATAGAATAAAATGGTGGTAGACTTACAAGCCCCCCATGTGATAGCAGATGGTGGTGACAGGTACTCTTTAAGGTGATGCTGGGGGTCCAAAAGACCCCCAGTGTCACCTTTACACTGGAAATAAGCTATTGAAGTGCAGATCGCACTTCAATAGCTTATAGCTGGGCTCCAGGAGCCCAGAACTGACAGCCCAGGGACCGGAAGTGATGCAATCTGCATCGCTCCCGGTCCCATAGAACGGG